AGTAATATTCAATTTTCTATTCAAAATAATGTTCAATTATATATATATATATATATATATATATATATATTACTCATTTTTGGCCAATAATATATATATATATTACTCATTTTTGGCCAATAATATATATATGTATGTATGTATCTCGCTGCTGTCAGAAGAAAAGCTCGTATCTCCAAAACGCTAACTTTACAGGAAAAGGGAAAAACCTACTTTACTTTTAATGTAAGTCAATGGAACCAGACTTTTTCCAAGTCATTGTGGGTGATTTCTTTTGGTCCATTCATCATGAAATTTACACACAATGTAAAGAACAACAGACATTTTGAAAATATGTCAAAAACTGAAAAATGGTGTGTGGGTGTGTGTGTGTGTGTGTTTGTGTGTGTATATTCACCCCCAAAAATAATTTTTAGTCTAGATTTAAGCCTAATCTACATCTGGAACACAAACCCATAGACAGCACCCTCAATCAGTATATGACAAATACAGCACTTTCACTATATATCTGCACACTTCACATGAGGCAAGTGCAATTTGCTGCCTATTTGGCTGAAGCTGGAACTGGAATATGAGGGTGAAATGATGACGAAGAGCAATGTACAGTAGGAGCCGTAGAGAGAAGGAGGAACAGTAGATTTATGCTGTGTGCTATCTCCTCAGTATTCACCATGACCAGCCTGCAGCAGATCAGAGATAGACTCTTCTGATTCTAAAAGAGGCCGAGAGCGATCTCTCTTTGCATTTCCTATTATCTCTGAGTGCTGCCTATTCCGATTGAGTCCACTGAGTCCAGTCGTTCTCAAGAGTTCTTCATAGAAAACTGTGATTAAAGGAAATAAAAGGTCAGTCTACAAGACCTTCAAAGCTTAAGTGTCCCCAGCTCTGCATTCAAATCCACTGACGACAACCATGTATGGCTTCTGTATTACAGAAGTCACTTGGATTACACGCTTCAAATGTTTGTGTTTCAGTCAGGAGTAGCATCAAACCAGGCTGAATCACATACGGCTCTGTACTCCCTAAATAGTGTGCTTGCTATGAAAGTTGGGAAATTATAGCCCTTCAGCTAAATAGTGCATCATTTACTGAGTCCCAAATGACAATTTCTTAGCTATATTTTGCACTGTTGGGTGCAGGATCCAGTATTTAAAGTCCTACATAGTGCGCTATGTAGGGAGCAGGGAGCCGTTTGAGATTCAGCCCCAGCGTGAGAAGAGGGACACCACTAGATTGGTGCTAAATAAGACTCTGTGTTAATTTGGTGTCCAAAAAGTACTTAGAAAGCAAAATTTTTGTATTAAACAGTGCGGTGTTCTCTTATGTTCATTGTTATACAACAAAAAGCTTTTAAGAAAATCATGAAATGACCATAATAAACAGCGATGGGCGACTGAATATTCATTCTTCTCCTCATTCAGCTGTCCAAGGTTGCTTAGCAATGATACCATAAATAAACTACATTTCTTGGCGGAATACTAGTTGATGTTGATTATCAGTAATAATAACTTAATTTTTTTCTGAAAAGTGTGTATTTAATCATATTTCATGTTGGCCACCATTCTATAAAAGCAATACGTGAGGCTTTAGTAAAGCAGCACACACTCCTCTACTGTTTCCATGTTTAGCTGTTGTCGCCACTGTTAGAATAACACTAGGTCTTGTTCTCAGATGCTTGAATTTATCCTTTATCGCCCCCATGGATACTGAGAGTTTTGATCAGACCACCACAGTAATGTAAGGACGCACATTGAGTTTGGACAGAAGGACTGTACAATGCATTGGCTGGAAGTTGTCATTTGACTATTTGCGCTGAGCATATTTCCGGTCTAAGGGTCATTTTCCAGTCAGGGATTAAGCCAAATCCTAGACTACATTTTCCTGTCAGTAGAGAATCTCCATTGAGAATGCTTGCAGTGCAAAGCCCTATTCAGGCGGGATTAGTTTTATATGGGGAGGTGGGGTAATGTAATTATTACCGGTATTTCTCAGTGATTTCAGTCCCGTCTGAATGCGCCACGTCAGGTATTTTTACCGTCTGCGTGCTCCTGTGTCAGTGTGGCTTCCGGCACCTTTTACCTTTTGTAAAATTATAAGTGTTAACTGAATAACGGCTAAATTAAATGTTCTGAGCCGATTTCTTCTCTTTTCTAGAGTAAAGGCAGTGCGTAAACTGAGTAGCCACTTCCATCTCTGTCATTTATACCCAGCTTTCTAATCCTGTGTGAATTGGTCATAAACATTAAAGATGTCCTGTTGTAAACTAGCTTTTGCCCACCTCCTCAGGGAAAATTAATCCCATCTGAATAGGGCTCAAGACTATGCTTAATCCCTGTCCTTAGAATGTTACTACAACAAACAATTTGTACGAGGTCATTCAAAGTATACATGAGTACTGTGGGAAAAAAAAAATCACATCTAATCAAACCTAATTTAAATATATTTTAATGCTGTTACAAATACACTGTGATGTGTTTTTCCTTGCTCCTCTAATTTGCCCTTAAAGTGTTTCATATTTAGGGCAAAGATCACTCAGTGAAAAAAGCTTTGTGATTTTTAGAGCATTGAAAGGGGTCAATGCATACCGGGTGGAATAAACCAGAACATCTCTCATTGTCGCTTTCATCAGCTGACTTACCCTACTTTCAGAATGTGCCAGAAGTTTCTCTGAAGGACACGAGACCGTAACAGTAAAATAGCATTTTGGGAAATGCTACTGAGCATTGTGAACATGCTGACATGATGGTGGTTTGGCTGAAACCTCTGGCCAAAAACAGGACCTGAGTTCCCCAGGAGAAAACTGAGCTGCATTCAACACTGCCTTCCAAACAAAAAAATCAATAACCTGTCATCTAAGGCCTGACATTACACTGAAATATGGACATATTTAATGTCTTCTAAAAAGGGTCAAAGGTCAGAATCGTGTTCAACAACCAAACAGGGTTTATGGGAGTTGAAGACATATCATTGTGGCAGATTTGTAAAGACATACGGTACTGTGCAAAAGTCAGAGACCATCACTCATTTATTTAATTTCCAGCCATTAAATACAAGTAACTTATTTTCAGTGACAGGAACATATGAGGTCTGAGGTCATATGAGACTGAGGTCGTTTGGAGGGCAGGGGCACTCCTGAGGACCTTTTTCAACACCGTGGTTTTATGGAGCGGTCTGCTGGGGCAGCAGCATCTCAGCATTATGTATCTGAGTTTCGGTGGTGTACCAGCTCTCGTCTGGTTGTTAATACCCCATTTTTTCTATAGCATTTACATTTTTTTTTTTTACTTTTCATGATTTTTTTAACAGTATTGAAAACTCCTGTTTTTCTCTTATTTTCCACTGATTTTAACCATCTGTCACAGTTTCCCTCGTCTATCTTTGCCCTTTTCTCTTCCTGCCCCAGTCTAGTCTGTCACCTTCCCCTAGCCATGTGCTTTTGTTGTTGTTTTTGTTCCTGTCTCCTCCCCTATCCTGCATCCTTGTTATCTGTCTCATCGGTGTGTAGTTTGTAGCCCTGCCCTCTCATTAGTCCAAGAAGTTTCTTGTTCATCTCAGTGTATTTGTATATTTGTTTTAGTGTTGTTTTTCTTGCTCTTTTGTTTAGTTTCCTTTTCGATCAATGTCTCTGCTCTTCTTGTTTCTGCTAATCAGTTTCTGGATTCTGTAAAATCTGATGGCAATAAAAACTCTCATTTGCATCCAGTCTCCATGCCCACTATGTTACATCTTCCTTATGCAAGTGGATTATCTTATCTCTAATCTCTTCAGAAAAATCTCCTGACGAATGAACAACTTGAATTAATAGCCATTTTGACAGAAAATTAAATAAAAGCTGGTCTCTGACTTGTATACCGTACAGTATTGAGCTTGAGACTTCCATGAAGAGATTATTTAACTATGCACCTGTTATGTTTCTAAAAGTGGCTTTCACAAATAGCTTGAGTTTCTATATATGATACTGATGTTTGTGAGTATTTGTAAGACAGACACATGTAACATGTAACTGAACCCTCTGTTTCTCATGTCAATTGATAACATCACATCTAATCAAGCTGTGCTGATAAGAGGCCTCCTCACTGTTGGGAAAGAAAGCTTTATGGTTAACTGGACTACATCCTGGCCCCTGAGCCTGACAATATACAGTGTGCTTCCGTTTATAAACACTGGACTATCTAGATACATAGAGCTTAAGACATTTTGTACATGACTTGGCATTTATCTTGACACAACTTATTGGTTTGACCCCAACTGATTTGGCAGGGTGTAACAATATATTTAGTTCATGACTCAACTTACGTTCACACTTCAGTATTCTTGTGATATTTTGAACAAAATTTAAATGAAGAGAATGACAGGATGACTATCCACATGATTGCACAAGTTGCTAATAAGACTGAATGTGCTGTTGTGGATTAAGCTGATTGTGACTTTCAAACAATGCAACAGCATTAGAAGACAATTAATACAATGCAGATGATTTTGTTATCTCATAATGCGGTCACATTTTTGTATTGCAATGTATTGTCACAAAGTATTCTTATTCAGACAGAGAAATGAAATTCAATACTTTCATTGTACTGACAAAACAACTTTAATATCAAATTTAATACAGAAGCAGTCATCCTTATAAGCATTCGTGAGCCAATAAGCATGCTTGTTCCAAAATCTAGACTGGTGATTGGCTGTCTAAATTGCATTCAGCAGGCATGTTATTAATGTCAGTGCATCTTTTGATTTGTAAATTAAAGGAATCATTTAGGAATCACTATCAGTGCTGGTTTTTTGTTTGTTATTTCCCTAATTTCCCAATTCAGTAGTGGCCAAATCCCTCCCGCCAGCCAGGTCTAGTCCATCACACAGTGCTAATACATCCTCTGATTCATGTGAAGCTGGTCCTGGCTTCCAATTGCCAAACTGCCACTAAAGCAACATCAGCCCAACACATTTGCAATGGCTTGATTGATCATTATATTAAGTCATACTCTCTCTTTTCTCTTCAGGGTGACGGCTCCACCTTTCTGCAACTGGGCTCTTCCATTGAGCAGCAGATCAATGGCATCTTCAAGGTGATGGAGGAGTACAACTGGGACAGCTTTGTGGTGGTAACCAGCCAGTATCCTGGCTACGAGGCCTTCGTGGACTACATTCGCTCTTTCACAGACACTTCCTACTTCCTTTGGGAGCTGCAGGACGTCTTGACCTTTGACATGTCGGCTGACGGCATGAACGACCTCCGCGCTCGTCGGCTGCTGCAGCAGATTGACGCTCAAGTGCTGCTGGTGTACTGCTCCCATGACGAGGCCCAGTACCTCTTCAGCATGGCTAAGGAGGTGGGCCTGCTAGGACCGGGTTATATCTGGATCATCCCCAGCCTGGCAGTGGGGAACCCCAACATCCCCCCACCGGACAGCTTCCCTGTTGGACTTATTAGCATCATTACTGACCGCTGGAAGATGAGCCTGAGGAACAGGGTGAGAGATGGAGTGGCGATTGTGGTGAAAGGGGTGGAGAGCTTCCGCAAGCACAGAGGCTTTATTCCTGATGGACACACGGACTGCCAAACTCCGCTGCGGCCAGACACCAACGACACGCTTTTCAAGTGAGTGACAGGAGGGGGATGTTGGAGAGTTAGAGAAAATGCACAGAAGGTTATTGTATACATTAAAGTAGAGATGTGCAATAGTTGCATAGGCCATCGAATTGGAAGCCAGGCCTCCCCAGATTTATTATCATTAAAAAACAGTTTTCCAGTGCTAATAAAAATATTACAAAATGTACGGTCTTCGTGGACAAAGGCCTAATAATTTTTTTTCTACGTCAAATGGTTAAGTCACTTACAAAGCTTTTTACGTTATAAAGCTTCTTAAGTCATCCAAATTCTCACTGTACGGACAGCATTAGCTTTCTCCACTGTTTTTCCTAGGAATGACAACTTAGCTGAGCTGTGCTAGCTTCTATAGGCCACTTATCTAGCTAGCAAGTAGTCGTACTCGACTGTGGTAAAGAAAACAAAGTTAAACACTGAGAAAAAGTGACTAGAACATTGCTTTCTTCTAGGCGTTTACACCTATTCCTGTAAAATGTAGGACTGTTTTTAATTAGCTATTACTTTTCTGGTAATAACTAGCACTAGAGAGTTAAAGCAGTGGGTGGGTTATTTGTTTTTTAACGGCTTAACTATAATGAATTTGGCTAGTTGTTGATGGTCATCCTCACTATTGCCATGTCCCTGGGCCTTAATGCTTGCTAGCCACTGATATCACTATGATATTATCAGTACTATGACTGATTGATACTGCTTATAGATTCAGTACTTTACTGCTACTATCAATGGTTCCTTATTTTTTTTGCCTGATCTTGCATATTTATAAATAAGCCTATTTTACCCTATTTTTTAATAGCTCAGCAAACTAAAGAATGATCTGGCTGCTTTTGTAGTAGCAAGCGAATTCTTCATCAAGTAACTACACATTGTTTTGCTTCACCATAATTCTCTCCATCCTGTGCGTAGTGGGCTCTTTGAGTAAGTGAGCGAAGGACGGAGATGGGGAGCCATAGAGGGAGAGAGAGAGAGGTGGGAGGGTAAATCGGTGATTTTATCAGTACTCCTGCACACCAGTTCTGTTTATTGGTGTGACACATTACTTCCACTCTTTTTTATTATTTGGCCACTGTTAGCACACTCCTGACCCTCATGCAAAGTGGCAAGTGAGGGAGATATAGAAGATAGAGCAAATAGATTTTAATGTTTCCATAAATTTCAGTTTCTCCAGCACTGATAGTAAAACCATTCTCTCCTTATACTCTGTTTGTTACTAATTTACCAGTTCCCATTGAGAATCAGGTATCAGTCGGCATCCCTATATTACAGAGAAAGGTAAGGTATACAAAAGATGCAGACCTTAAACTAAACTCTCTTAAAACAACAATATAAATGACAAACACATTAGTGCATTTGGTTTCTGATAGAGACGGTCAAACCTAGCACACCGTCTGTTCTGAAAGCCACCATGCTGTGAGTATCATATCCTGCTTTAGGCTCAGGGATCAGAGGCAGAAATATAGAATGATAAGATATGTCCCGTCATGCCAGCGCAGCCTGAAAAAAGCAATCTGGTGCCATCTGTGGCAGGGAACACGGAGCAAATCCTATTTGGTCTGAAAAAATTTTAATCAGCCAAAGGGAAGCTGAGGACAGAAGACAGAGAGATGCAGAATCTGGCACAAGTCAAGGTCACTGAGTACAGACACACTGAAACTCTGCACAGTGTGCATGTGTGTTTGTGTCTGAGACTGAGGAAGCTTTGACATAAGGCAGTGCAATACAAATGCTAAAAAGGCTTCTTGACAGCTACAAATCTATTCATGCCCACAGGGCTGAGTTGCCTTCTCACAGTGGAAGAATGGACAAAAACACTTGTGGATTTTTCAGATCTGAAGTAAAAGTGGAGCTTGATTTTCTCCTCTCTCTCAAAGTTGAAAGCTTTAAGTACTGCTTATCTGATAGTGACAGTTGGTGGTCCACCAGGTCTTGCATACTAGTTATGAGTCCCATTTTCTCTGTATCTTTTAATTATTTTTTTGAACTCCAGTTTTTCGTTTATTTTCGTTTGACTTTCCCCTTTCTTATGCCAGTGGATTATTTACATCAATCATTTTAGCCATCGTATCAGTGTTGGCACGTCCTTTATTGGACAAATCTCCTGAAAAAGTCTTAAAAATCTACTGCCTAACGTGGACCAAATGCGATGGATTCGTACAAGCTGACATACATGACTTTCAGTTACCACAGTGTGATTTTCTAAACTGTATATATAGTTAGGGACCAAAAGTCTGACACCACCAGTGACAATGCTTATATTTGGCATTATTTTCTAATTTAATACAGAGCTTTTCATTTAAAATTATATTACCAACATAACAATCTTAGTGAACAGCAAAATCTTTAACATTTTAACATGAATTTTAGAATTTATTAATTATTAATTAATATTTGTCCTCCCTTTCTGTTGATCATTTGCAGAACTAAAGGATTAAAACAATTCTAGATTTTAGAGATTAGCTTCTTTTTTAATCACACATAAACAGCCTCTTGACCAACCGTTTAATTTTTAATCTAAAGCATACTATGTTTCACCTCAGAACACATTCAATATGAACAAGCTAAAGGTTGTTTGATGTATAAAAGACAAAAATTTAATGCAATATCCACTCTTTTACTTACAAATGCAACAGAATTTCTTCACTTGTTTCTATGAGCTTTTCAGTGAGAATAATGCATATTGCCTTCCATGACGCTCTTGGCAATAAACGTCTAAAGGTTAATATTAAGTTATTAGACATTGGTGAAACCGTCTAATACTGAGGCTGTTCAATATTGTGCTGTTTGATTTGGAGCATCAAGATATAACCCCATCATTTTCACCCTCACCAATTGCTTGTAATTAAGTCTGGTATTAGTGAGCTGGTGATTTGGTCATTTCACCTGTTAATGAGATTACAGCAGATTACCAGATTACACAGGCTTTGCATACAGATGACACATAACCATGCCCACATTACTCATGGGGCTCTCATCACTGCTAGGATCAGTGTGCGTGTATACAGAGGTGAAAAGGCACAGGAGGACAGGCTGTCCAGCGTGCAGTAGCATCCAGACTTCATTGTATCATTATGGTCAGCTGTGAGGCCATGAATGAAGAGGCCACTAGACAATTGAGCACAGGAGCACTTTTTCAGTGGAAAACTGTAATAAATGTCTGAATAAAATCTTATATTTTTATAATTAGTTTTATATTTTTCTAAAGATTATTTATATAATCTTATATAATATGCTTATATTTATAGGGTGCAGAAGGCATAATTTTATCACCTATGCAGCATACCATATAGGGAGTAAGGAGCCATTTCAGGTTCAACCAAAAGTGCTCTCATGCTAAACAAAAAGATTGACCAGGTTTCTGTCCATACCCCTCTCATCCTCTGGTGCTCTAAACTTAATACTAATACTTAATACTAAGTAGTGTTACACTAGGAAAATGAATGAGACTGCTTATGTAGTGGTTTCAGCATTTATCGCTCCAAACTAAACTGCTAATACGAAGTCAGGAAATGATGCAGGGCACAGATCAGGCAGTGTCGTAAAACGTAATGCAGTGTACACAAGCGTGACAGTGGTGCACATACATGGTACAAACTGTGCATAGGTCGCAGCTTGTGTAGCGATAGTGCTATTGCAAGTGAATGGCTGAATTTCTTCTCTTTCCCATTTTAGTAAGCAAACCACACTCATTCCCGCCTAGTATACTGAAGTAGCAACTGTTCAAAGATAAGGCCTTGGTTACTAAAACCAAAATAAAGAACAGAATGGAGCAATCATTTGACTGATAATAGCCAAAACAGTTTTTGGTGTTGGGGTGTGAGTAATACTGCTGCCCTGTTAGGGTAGACCAGGGTTTCAGTTTTCCCACTACACCCATAGGAGTACTTGGGCAAGATTCCTCATGCTACATTCACCTACATTGAACTGTAAGTTGCTCTAGATATAAAGCCTGAAATGTGTGTCACTGTTATTGACGTAAGATTTGATTTTGGTAATTACGGTTATCGTTTATCGCCTAGGTCTACATCTTCATAGCCTTCATCATGTCCTTAATGTCCTTAACTATAAGTGTGGTCAAATGAAATTTCTGATCAAAATGCAGACTGTAATGATCTGATCTGATCAAAATGCAGACTGAAATGTTAAACCAGTTTAATGCTTTAATAACAAACACATTTCAGGATCTCTCATTCATGGGATTACAGATCAAAATGTCCACATCTTCTGTGATTTCCTTCCACAGGCATATGCTGAATGTGTCATGGGAGCACACAGACTTCTCATTCAACAGCGACGGGTATCTGGTCAACCCATCTATGATTATCATCACACTGGACCGAGAGAGGCAATGGGACAAGGTAAGCCTCAGAAGACATTCAAATACACAGACAACTATGATTTGTAAGCTCCAGTCATGGTCATCCACATTATAGCCTATTATATTCATGTTTATGAATACAGTCGACACTTGCTACTAAATATGGAAAAATTTGCTTCATGGACACTAATTCAATGCATCAGTGACACTTTCTGAAAATATACTCCATTTACAAATTTAAGTTTGTGTTTCATCGTTTTTCCGCACTTACATTGGGTCTTACAAACATGCTTTTCTTGCTCTTAGCCCAACTTCTGTTGATGTTGACTACTGTTGACTTTTACTGTTAACTAAATCTCGGCACTCTACAAGAGGCTCCCAACCACTGGGCCATGAACCAGTACTGGGCCTCAATTGTGCAGCAGTGAGCAAGGGGAAACAGTAGCCACTTTATAATTCCACTTTATAATTAAATTTACTGTTATTATTAGCAATGTAATTTTATTTAAAGCCCCTGGGAACCTAAATACATGTTTTTTAATTGGGTTAATCTTGCTTACATGGGCACACAACATACATGCTCTGTATGTCCTGTGAATAACTTTCCAATGCCCAGTAAATGGCTGATGTATTTTACCTACATTCTCCTATCCATGTAATATAGGCATTGCTAATATTGGGTAGTACATATGTCAGCAGGGTCCTGACTAATCACTGTGTTCCTTTGAAGAAACTAATCACACAGAAGTTAACAATGAGTAAAAGCTAACTCAATAAGGATCTTTTTTTATACTTCAGTCAAAAACATTGCTGTGATTCACTCTGTTGTAAAAACGGCTAAGAACCCCTGCTCTGGAATATACAGTAATATAATCAAAATCTAAAGTTTACATATATTATACAATATAAAGTTCACATTAGTGTGCTGCTGAGTATATTCACAATGCCAATTTTTAGTGAGTTAATTAACAGTTATTACAATGTAGACTATATATTTTGTGCACTGAGAGCTAATTCAAGTGGATTGTTCTTTTCCATATTCTGATGGCTAAGAGTTACTTCTTAGTTCTTCAGAAACACAGCCTTGAGCTGCATGTAAGTAATTATTGAGCTATTGATGTTTTCCTCAAGGTTGGCCTATTTATTTTGGATGTGCTGTATTCCATCTGAAGGTTCAGCTTGTGTACCTGGCAGGTCGTGGATGTGGAGCAGAGTTAAATCAGGGCTGAGCCTGTGAGGTGTTGAGATGGAGGGCTCTCTCTTTGGTGCTGTGAAGTTGGGGGAGGGAAGGTACTATGAAAAATAGAACAAAGCCCCCAAATGAGAGGAGTGCCATTATGATTTGAATACATGGGCTGGAACTTGACATACGCGTCAGACCATGTCTCACACACATCTAGAGACACCATTATCATTTATTACCGTTTCTTCCAGACACTGCAGACAGACCATTGCATCAGTAGTCCTAAATCCAATATAGTCCTGCACTTCTGAAACACTGTGGCTATTCAGAGCTGTTTGCAGCCAGGGCTGTTTGTTTGACTGACGTGCTTGTAACTCGCCATTAAAAGCCTCATAATTCGAATTGGACTTCAGACTTCAAATTTCAGCCTTAGAAAGCAACACAAAGAAAACTAACCAAATTAAGATGCTAACACAGTAAATGAACAAAACCTTTCAAAATAAAACCTAAAAAAAATAAACTATACATATATATATATACATAAACAGTACAAAAACCATTTGTGATTATTACTGTGCCGCCCTGGCTCTCTATGGTAGACATTTAACCCTCACTAACTAAACCCACACCCTGACATAATAACACACAAACAACACAAACACATCTCAAACTAACAAACAACAACAACAACAAATGTCTCTTTTCACTTGAGGGGTGAAGTATGTGGTGCAGCTTTGCATACCATGCCTTCAAAGCCCTTTCTGCAACACAGAGCAAGTGGCAGCCACCACTATATAAATGATATGCAATGGGATTTAACTCTAGTTACAGTCAAGTACAGAAGTACACATGAACAGGATGTACATCTATAATTGAGCAGCTAATATGAATGTAAGTTATTTATAAAATATGCATATTGCAATAAATGAAAGAACTGACTAGAGTAAAGGGGAAAAGGCTGTTATTCATAAGAACTAAAGCGTGGGATATACAGTGGTTGTGTCCATTACAATGTGTGCACTGTGTGTAATAACGTGCACTTACAGCAGTTTAAAGCAGACAGATGTGAGTAGGGTCCTTATTCAGGAGGATGATGGCCTGGGTAAAGAAGCTGTGGAGGTGACGGTTGGTCGGACTCTTTAGGGCTCTAACTCTTTGTCTCTGCTGAGATATAAACTAAACTAAAATTCTGTACTGAAGGCTCTGGACTTACCTTGGGCTGGTATGAATCAACTTGAAAACACCTCTGGCATGTGGTATACAAGTAATATAAATAAACTTTCAGGGCCACCATAGAAACCATTTTGGCTGAAGAGCCTTGCACGGTCTGTTTCAATTTCAGTATAACTGACTCAATGGCCGATCTGTCCTGCAATTTTATGAGGTAAATAATGTGAGCTGGTTAAGGGTACTCGCGCTGTATGTGAATGCTGCTGCTAACCTATAACAAAAATTGTAGCGCAACTGTAACTAATTGTGAAGTAATGCTTCATTCTTAAGGTTATATAGCTTTCTCAATTTATATATAAACATATATATACATCTAGAGCTCTGTTTGTCATTCTGCACACAACTACATTATATTACTTTTATTATAGCTTCTTACGTATTATTTTTGAGTACTAAAATCATATTAGAATAATTTCATAGATGTAAAATACAATTTTATACATGTCTAATAAAAACAAACAAGACCATTTACACCGTAACAATTCACCTTATTGGATACACTGTTGTTGAACTCCACAGCTCACATTTTACGCTTCTACATGTTCTCATGTTGTTTTATGTTGTTATTCATATTCACAGGGGTACAATGTTCTCATTCAAAAGGAGCTACCTGTGGTAAAATTGTACTGACTTATGGCTAATTTTCTAAATGGAAAAAGAAATTAAGACAGTATGCTGATGAAATGGGTGTAAGTGTTATGCTACAACAACAGACCAATCCTGCTTATGCCCCTATGTAAGCCTGCAGACTGTCATGTCCATCATATGATCTGTTAGAAATGCATGTATTTTTAAGCCATTCAAGATACGTTCTTAATGTGATATCATTATAAAGTGGCTATTATGTGATAGATGAGTCCGGCTTTGCTATGATGGTGTAATTTTGCATGCAGGTGAAACTTTCAGAAGAAAAGTATTCCTCTATTATAAGCATGCATAATGAGACCATTTCTCTCACAAAGGCACTGATAAAGGCGAACGCGTTCCAGCCGTGATTTATGCACCATGAGCAAATCTATCCAACATAATGTATTATTTTTGAGTTTGAGTCACATTGTTCACCTGTCTCCAACAGCCAGTGAGTTGTTTGCTATCACTCTGTCACTGATAAGTCTCGTCCAGAATACTTTTCCTGTCACCTGTGAAGACTCACAGCGACAACAGCAATATTCAGAACACCATCAATCTCTATAAAAGTCTTAAAAGAAAGGAGTACTCCAGCATTTCATAATCTAATCTAGATTTTCTGAATCAGTAGCATTTCATAATCTAATCTAGATTTCCTGAATCAGTTGCATATCACTGAAATTTGATACTCAGTTGTTGATTCTAAAGACGCTTATAATAGACAGTATTGGGCAGCTGCTGAAACACATATCTTTGTAAAACATTATGAATTCTTCAGCCAAAGGAATTCCTAAATGAAGCTGTGAATCTGAATTAAGTGTTTTTGAGGATTAGCTTGTAAGAGGAGAATTTGTGTAAACAGTGGAATGGCCACTGGAATAGCTTTCTTACTGTGTTGTTCCCGTGTTTAATAGTTGGATAAACCTTCAGTCTAACAACTTTCATAAGACATTTTCTCATTTCTCATTTCAGTTGTAGTTCTAGAAAAAAAACTTTTAATTGCTGAAGAACATTTACACTGTGTGTAGGTTCTTGAGACTTTAAAAAGGCTCTTCACACTCACACATCTCACTAACGGAAACAATCTTTAAAGACCCATCCACTGAAAGGTTCTTTAGAGAACCAAAAGATATTCTTCTGTGGCATCTCTCCAAAGAAGCCTTTTTAGCACCTTGATCTTTAAAAGAGAAGTCACTGATAGACTGTGACTTCCTCATTGAAAGTTCTAGTGTAATCTTTGTGGCATGTAAAGCAATAACTTCTGGAACTAACTAATGGAAGTTGAGGCGGGCAATCTCTGTAGAAGATGCATGACTTTCTGGGTATTCATTCCTGCCATGTCCCTTAGGGGCAAAGTCCAGTCTCTGGACTCATTGTCTCTGGTTCACTTGAGAGATGAACAGCCCTCTATATCTCCCTCGCACATCTATCTATCTGTGTGCTGGCCTACAGAGTGACACCTCACTCCACTCTCTCCTCCTGCTGCAGAGGGAATTTATTAGGCAGGTAAATCACCGGATAACTCTTTTCAAAAGCGGTCCGGCTGACAGCTGACGATGACTCGTTTTTCATAACTGCGTCAGAGTCGTCTCTCAATGACACTTCTTTTCCCGAAAAAAAGGCAAAGCAACATCAGGAACACGGAGAGAATATTAACCAGAGAGACAGACAGATCTCCAGACAGACAGATGAGACTGGGAGAAAGAATGAACATAAGGTGGAAAAGGCTCGGCCCATCTTACACTTTCCATTTTGATTTAAGGCTGTAAAAAGCAGCACATGCCTTAATCTGCATTTTGTCTCTCACAGAGAAGTGGAACACTGACAGGTCAGAAGAGGCCTTTTGATTTATGTACCTGATAGTGGTGCTCATAAAATCTGTCTGAAGCCGTTCTACGCAGCTGTAAAATACTTGATATGCATACATATGACCATACACATCAACTGCATTCTGCATTCATGCGCCAACTTATTAAATACCATTCATAGAATATCCTTTG